TAATAATATAGGCGGTCAGTAATCGGTCGTTGGTCATTATTTAGGTCATTATTTATATACCTATCTTTATTATATACATATCGGGCCGTTGGTTATTACTTCGAAATCTCAGAGAAACGATACAGTGAATATGTGAATGCTCGAAGATTTACTATCATGCGCCGAAGAAGCCATGACAATAATTACTGACTGAACGCATGTACCTACCTCATAATAATATGACCATATTGTCCACTGTTTGACTGAGAAAATTAGTTTCAGTTAACCATTTTCACGTCCCAAATGTTCTCGTATAAAGCGGTGTGTACTGATGCCGGAATATAAATAATTTGGGCCGTTATACAATTTTCCTGAACTCGATCCGAGTGTATTATGTGTACCGCATACCTACCTACCTATCCGATTTTAAAAGACGATCGATAATAATTCTCTTTGACCTACACAGATTGCATGTATAATTAATTCATGTTTGCAATTAATGTATTGCACTATAAAGATAAGGTTTTAATATTTAACTTATCCCTCGTCTTAATTAAACATTGATTGCCTTACATGTTAACTCAGAGATCATTAACTTAATTAATATGAGTGCTTATCCTCTAGGTTAAATACCTAATCTAAAATCGTAAACATAATTATAGGTAATTTAACGGATTAGTGTAAAATTCGTACTCTTATATATACCTAATATATTTTCAGTTATTTTTCAAATAAGTTTAAACATTACAATTGTACACTGTCATAAAGAATATATATATTATACAACTATATAAATGTGTTTTATGTGTAAAATGTATTATTTTGTTTTTCCCAAATTTCGAAAATCTCGAATTCTCCTGTATAAATATGTTTGGTATTAGCGAACACGCACCAGCAGTTACAGCAGAACCATTATTTCGTATACGCACCATTAGCAGAAACTGTCCGGTAATCGAACCTAATGCTAGTTCTGACCATAATAATAATTACCGTAGCTGCTGGATAATGATTATAGTCGGTTTGTGTGCGCAATGTGTTTGGTGGCCGACGGGGGAGAGAGACTCATTAAAGATCACAAGCGTCCATCAACGTTGATGAGCTCAAAAATTGTTTGTTAGTTTTGCCCCTGCAAATAGGTCACTTGTGGGTTTGCTTTGAGTTATGGAAGTTTTGGAGTTCGCAACGGCAAAAGTAAACAAGCCGGAAAATACCTGTAGAAGTGATAATATGACAAGCGTAGTTCACAGAACTGATGTGTATATGGACATATTAATGTACTTCTATGTTTAATCGTGATCCTGAATTTGCGCAGTAATATTATTGTGAAAAATGCTGTTCTCTAGTCATCGTTTGTCACGGTTTCGAATAAGTAATCAATAAATAATTTATTTTACGTACCTCTTGCAGGTACACGTATTACACATAATATACTCCTGTTTAATCTCTGTATAAATTGCCTATTTCCTGGTCGGTTGCTCGTTTTCGATATTTGTATTCACTAATCACGCTACTCCTAATACTACATAGGTTTTCATTTTTAAAATTGCACACAATTTGCTAACCGGAGAAGCCGATTTTCGTAACAAAATTCGAGAAAGTATAATATTCATGGGGAATATTATATATTATTTAATTTTTGTGTAGGTATAAGAAAAACAACACGTGCTCGTCACAACGACCGTTCGTTTTTAAAGGTCGTTGAAAAGTTACTAAAATGATTTTAAAATACTATTTATTCGTTTTTTAGATAAAAAAAAAGTAATAAAAATAATGCGACTGAGATAGATTTCTCTCTTCGGATTTACTACTCTCGCGGTGTTATCTGCATTAGTATTTCTCTCCCGTCTTTGTATATAATCGGTTTATAATACGTTTTGTGTCTTATGAACAGTAAGTCTATATTAATTGATTGCCGTCAAACTCGATATATATATATATATATAGAGGCTGTAGCAGCCTATGGCTGCTATGGGTTATTATAGTACTTCTGGCAACAAAATCGTACACATTCAGTTCCGAGTCGTTCGCGCAACGCGAGCCTAAATATTATCTATACATTTAGGAAATTAATTGAATTTCTCGGAAAAATACTCGTTCCATAATATTGTTGTGCGCATCTGCCGTAGGTGGATGTGAATGTGTTGGTGTGTGTGTGCGCGGGCGTGGGCGCGTGATCAGGTGGACTTAGTGCCGAGGATGGTGATTGGCGTCGATGGTGCAGGGTGAGGGACTGGGAAAAAATCGTTTTCGCAAACTCGACACGTAACCGTTTTATTAGCACTCCAAAAATGTTAGAGTATACAAGGTAACAAAAAAAAAAAAAAAAGTAAACCCTACGACATCGACGGTGAATGATTTGCTTCTTCCGTACACACTATATTATATGCATGCACGTATTGCGGTATTGACGGTTTGCCTTCTTTATCGTGTGCGCTCGCTCTCGAATGGCCTTTACACGCAGCGGCCGTGGGTGGTTTTGGAAACGGCGGTGGTTAATCGGGAGTGGTTTCTCGCGGGGAAAAACGCATTGCCGCGATTTTCCGTTATCCGTAAGGGTAGTGGCTGCGGCGTGCGTATAACACGCCGTAATAACGGGGCACACCCTCCACCCCGATTCGACGTTCGGTGGAGGTTGCGACAAATTGCCGGGCGTTTAAAACTTTTTAATAACCCTTTTTATTTTTATTTTCGCTTTGTTTTCGTAAAAACCCACAACTTGCGCCCGCCCCCATAGGTATATATATACATACATATTGCGCCGGATCTGCCGGGACAAACAACAAATGGGCCGCAATTATTGCGGACGACGTGCGTCGCGGCCGGAAACGTTTCCGGACTAATGATCTTTTCATTCCTGGCCGTCCGAACGGTGGTGGTGGTGGTGGTGGTGGTGGTTGCGGTGGCAATGACGACGGTGACGATGATGATGATGGTGATGATGATAGTGTGTGTGTGTGTGTGTGTATGTGTAGACAGGATAAAGAAAACCCATACCGTCCCCCTCCAGAAACCCTTCCGACCCTTAACCGTCATCGATGGATGCTGCTCATCCGAGGAATGTTATTGTTGTTAACCGACCCCGCCGTCGTATGACGTATTCCTTTTTACCCAAGTGCGCGTGCGCACTCGCGATATGTATTATTAATGCACGGAAACGGAAAAAAAAAAATTTGTTTTTCCTTCAAAGGTTCTTCTCAGAGCTGCTCGACCAGTGAGCTGTGTGTAATCGAGCACCGACTTCCGGTCGACGTCAGAGGGTCCTTAAGGTTGCGGTTTTTTTCCTTCTTCGGCCTGGTATATCGAAATAGGAAGAAGAACCACCGCCACCCTTGTATTTTTTTCTCTTTCCATCGTCGATTGTTGTCGATAGTGATGTTTTTGGATTAAGCAATTCCCTTACCAACAATATGTTGAAAAAATAATCAAACATGGTAGTAGGTGTATAATATTATTTATTCCGTCGAACGTGATGTCGAAGTGACAAATAGGCTATAACGTGTACATTTACTTTGGCTTCTATTTATATATGTGTAAAATGTGTTATCTTTTAATAAAAATCTATCGATTTTTGTCATGCTTTTGTTTATTAAACATTATGTTTGTTGCGTACAACCGTTAAAAAACATAGCTCTAGATTCATCTATAACGATTTTCACACTAACCCTTAACCCAACATACCGATATCCTATAAACAAAACGTTTGCGAATAATAAAGTTGATTTTAAAATAATACTTCGCTTTAGATTTGAACTGGCAAAAAATTGTAAATTTTTATTTAAAATAAATAACTTCTCGTACGCTTTTTTTTAAAACTAGTAGGTACCTAAAACCTTTCTATATTGCTATCTTGATTTTTTTTTTTTACGCCCATCAATATTATTCATCTATATTTATAATATATCTATTTTAAAATCAGGGACGAGGGTATATATTTTATACTATAATGTTTTTTTTATAATACGCTTTACTAGAACACTATTTTCGTTGTTATGGCTGCCAACGTCATAACACTAAACACATTTGCTGATTAAGTCTTTTTTTCTTTAAACGTCCATTTTTACCCTTATCTTGTGTGGATATTTTTTTAATGGTTATATAATACGTTAAAGGCACTTTTCCCATATACTTACAATAATATATGTGTACATAGATATCACACACGAACATGTTCAACAAACTGTCTAATCTATAAATAAGAGTATATTAGTGGTCGATTTTAATAATGTTAATATCCAAGCATTGAGTTAGCATTTTAAAGAAAAACTATTACCTTTATACACCATAAGTTATAATTTATGGAAAAATATACTAAAGAACTAAGATCTCAGCCGTTATAAAATATTCGAGTTTTTATACTTATTCGCATATTTTGTTTTGAATCAATATATTATTGTGCAGGTGTTAGTGGTTTTATATTATTAAATTATTATATAATTTGATTTTGTTTCATCGTGTATCGTGCACGTATACATCGATTTGTAATTTACATATTTAAGCCGATATCGAATGAATACTACTTGTATTTACTGATTTTCGCAAAAACCAACTAATTGGGTATCGTATATCCGTGATTTTAAACCATTGAAACATTTACCATTAAACATTCATAAGTCATACATCGTATAAATTCGTAGAACCCAGCGTAAACGAAACCTTATTGTCTATAGCAGTATAATATTATATTATACTACCTATTCAGTACTATACTTTACAATATTAATCAACAGCGCTATTCAGTGACATGATTTGTGGAATACCTACTTTTATATCGAGAAACGCGAATGCGAATGATTATGATATACTCTGTCTGAGCAGAATTGATTTCACGTCGCATATATAGCTTGCCCCTCGGATATAATTTTCCTATTTGACATCGAAACATATAAATCCCAGAATATCATTACAATGTGTGCGGCTCGTACATAATAATAATAATATTATAATAATATATAAATATGCCCATAAAATATATATACCTACTGCAATTCGTATACTAATGAAGTCTATTTTTCTTTTCCTAGCGGAGAACCACCACCACCACGGCTCTGGTTCTGGTTGCCGGTACCCGTCGTGGTTGACCGAACACCACACCTGGCACTCGCTGAGCCACGGTCACGTTTACCATTTCTCGCCAAGAAACGGCACGTTGAGGAAGAGCGTCCCGGGGGCTGGGCCGGACCACGACATCCGAGCCGCGTGTTACAAGGTAATCAACGTCACCGAAAACAAGGCGCTGATCATCACTCATTACACTATCGGCTGGTAAGTACATGTCGTAGCTTAAAGAGCGGTTTTTTAGAGTACATAATAATGATTTACGTGTACGCATGCATTTTTCTTTTCTTTTTTTTTTAATCACGACCGGTGTACACGGTCGTATACGCGCACCACCATACGACTATACGCTATAAAGGGGTCGGGAAAATCTCGACTGCAGATTTCCCTCTCGAGTTAAATATAATGTTGTGTTATGACTGTTATATGAGTGTTTGGAGTTGGTTTTATAATATATATTTTTTTTTTTACTTTTTAACCTCCAAACGAACATGTGATAGGTATATACACACATATGCAAGTATGTGTGAGTGTGTGTATTTATATGTGAGTATAAGTGTGTTTGTATACACATTCTTACGAAAAAACACTCTCGAGTACATTCATCCGTGTCGGCGTGGTTCGTATAAGTAATCAACCCCGTCTTTATTTTTTTCCAATTCTTATTCTCGTGTACGGTCATAAAGTAAAAGGAAGGGTAAAAGGGTATTCAAAGCTCGGCAAATTAAAACCGACATTTTTATTATTTCTCTCAGAGTCTACATCATAAGTAGAATTTCGATCGAGCGAGGATTATTAATAAATATAGTGACTATACACGATAAAAAAAAAAATAAAAGCAAGTGTAATATTGCTCGGTGTTGTGAAGTTTAAATTTCACAAATGCAGGAATGTTCGTTATTTTCTAATGGTTGCCGTCAATATAATTAACGATCGAATATATATATATATATACTCAGATGATACGTTATCTATACACATCCTGCCCCGACTGTGTGCCGCCAGTCATTATTGTGGCTTGTACTCGCAGCGAAGACATTACTATGCACATCAATTTCAAGACATCAAATAAGATCGTATTGAATGTTCTAGTGCTCGTTTACACGGTAAACAAATCAAAATAATGACCAGACGTGTTTATGATATAGTTTGCCTATCTTATTCGAACAATGTCCAAACTTAATAAATATTTCCACCGGTTAAAAGTTTGAACATTGTATTAATATTATTTAGCAATATTTAACCGACCGGCGACCACAAAACTACAAAAATCTCTTGTCGAGTGTATATTTAATATTTATTTAAAGTATAATACCTACCTCAACACTGAGAACACAGTGAATTTGTGACACGAAAATATTAGACAATAGGTATATAGTGTTATTTATCAATTATCATCATAAGGTAACTTCAATATTACAAATCCGTAAACAAATAATTTCGATTGCAATCTTTGAAATAATATCCTATTTCTTAAACTAACACGAAAATTGTGATTTAAACACATCGATATTTTAAAAATAATGTGAAGATATATTGTTGTTCTATGTTTTTTTTTTTCATTTATTTCCTTGTGTATTTCCATAACTATAATTTCAAAACGTTCAAACAATTTCCATTAGTGCAATTGTTAATTGTTTTTATATTTTTAATTACTGAATATAAAATAATTACTCATTCAACCGGGTCATTAAATTTGTAACAAATTATTAAATAATTATTATGTAGTCGTTTATTTTAGTAGTTTATTTAATGGTACATTTTATTTTGCAGCCAAAGCGGATATGCGTGCATGGGGTTTTATCGCCGTGACAGCCAAGTTGTTGAGGTCCAAGAGAGTGGTACGTATATGCAACTTAAATGTCACACATAACTAACAGTCAAACATAAATGTATGCTAAAAACTTCGCCAAAAGTTTCCAAAACAAGCGTATAAGTAGTTTTAATGGGAACCGACAGGTGTCAGACCAATATTATGACAAAATAGGCTGACAAACTCACGAACGAAATTAAAATGTTTTACGTCAAATTTGGGCTGCGAACTTGTCACAATAAAATCGTAATGCTAACTTACGCTTACGAAAGTTTGCCATCTATCGAAATGAATAGTGTGCATTTTGCAAACTTTTCACTTAGGCGTTGATATTGTAAGACATTCAAACTTATTTTTCCAGTTCTCCTAAGAGATATGGCTACGAAGAAAAATAGGAGTTTGTTTGAAGCTATATAATCCACAAATCTACGAGTTTAAAGTATTGAAAATACGTATGACCATGCTGTAAGTTTATTTAATCATCATAGTTTTCCCATGCGATTCCTAAACAATCAATACCTACGTTGTGCGAATAAAACAATACGTGACGTAAATAAATATAACTGTATAATATGCATATTTAATTTAAACTATTTTGCATTTAAATATCAAACGTTTTCATTTTTGAAGGTTAGTAAATAATATATTCAAAACGTATATTAATCAAATTTCTTTACATGAAACAAATTAAATTCCGTGCATCTACTGCCTACAGGTATTCATATTATCTTTATTTTTCTTTGACATTTGAAATTTCTGAATATAATATTATAGTTAGGTATTTACGTAAACAAAAAAGAAAACAAATTTACAAGTTTCGTGAATTCTCAACTACTCAAAAACTAAAAATATGCTTAACATTATTCTTTAATGTCAACATTTTTATCGGTAAAATAATATTAAGGTTTTGTTATTTTTAATATGTCACGGAAATATGAAAATATCTCTTTCGTAGGCGAGGAAGGGTGAACATATTTAATATAAAATCCTCAAATTTCTATGGTAACGTGTCGGATTTGCTGAGATAGGACCAAAACGAAAAATATTGCGCCGCTGCCAAGTAACCGCCTCCGAGGCGGAAATACCGAGACGGCTCATATATATTCATACGAGCGAAGTGTCTGACATAACGTTTTCTAAGCGATTTCACTGGGAGGACATAAATATATTTCGATATGGTATACTACGCAAAGGGCTGAAACGTGCATGTTTTCAAATTTGTATCCCTCACATTTGGGCGTTAACGACTACACACTTGGCCGTTAGTCGTGCCATGACGACGGGGCGATTGTTCCCCTATAGTCATATTATATTCTCTGCAATATATTATATTATTATATTGTCGTCGTTGTTGTTGTTGTTATTATTTTATTTTTATTTTTGCCGGCTGACCGTTCGACTCGACCGTTTTCCACTCGGACTCAACCAATACTGTACCAATGTACCGGATATTCGTCAGCGGAATATAATAATATCTCATCTCGTGCACTTGCACCTCACCCCCCTTACCCACCACAAAACATAAAGATGGTGTAGTCGTTACGTGTTTGAACTGCATCTACTCGATCGCAGCTTTATGATATTACCGTGTCTTTCCAACACCTTTCCATAGCAAACTTCCTCTGTTTAGAGGAGCATTTCCGCAAGACCGGAGTTCACCGTAATGGTCCTATTATCTGGGGAGGCCATTCGTCTTACGCCATCCGGAATGGGTATATAGTCTATCGTAATTTCCTTTACGCTCACTTCCAGTCGTGTACATGTCTGCATTTAAGACATATAAAACGTAAATTGTATTATAAATTTATATCTTATAATAATATTATAAATGTATATCGTATAATAATATTATAATTGTACATTATATAATAACATTATAAGTGTATATATCATCGAAATAATATGATATTGATTCGGCGTGTCTAAGGCGTTTAATTTTGACCAACGCGTTTCGTTTATACGATATATTATTGTTGTTCGATAGTCAAAAAAAAAAAAAAATTATAATTGTAATTCATTGCCTGGCTGCAACTTGGGTGGCTCGAATGTTCAGAGACGTACTCACAAACAAAACGCCCAGAGATTAGATACGATAACATTAATCGCAGTCGCTACCGAAATTTACCGTACCGTATCATTAATGCGACTAAACGTTATAATTCTGTAATTACACGCGGGCTGCAGCTCCTCCGAGGCAAACCAAACTACCTCCGAGTGTATAAATGCGGTGTTATACATATATTATTATGCCAAAAGCGATTTTATTGAAAATCGTTCTGTTTCGACACCGAATGGAAACTATATCGTTTGATCTAATTACCTTTACCTATTGCGTTTGTAATTTGTATACACATTGTATGATAACATTTGCGATCGACGTGTTTGTCCTGTATGCGTACGACGGCCCCCGATTTCGACGATAACAACGAGATGATATTAATTAATGTATATTATTTACCAATAATATTCTCGAAACTGAAAGCCGACTTGCAATCACATCAATCGTCATATTTCATAATTTCATATTATGGCCGACTAAATTACAAGAGACCTCGTCGTGACAAAATATTTTACAAACATACTAATAATATACGACTGAATATTAGTCATAATATTTTCATTTAAATTTTCCATTATGTAAATGAATAACTTAATAATAATAACGTTGGATTGTTTTTTTTTTTTTTTTTTGTCAAGTAATTTCAAATTAAAGAAAAATACATTGAATGTTTCATGTTTCATGTTTGATTGCGCATTTTAATGTAAATGTGTAGAACTTGCTATTTATTATTTACTGCGCAAAAAAAAATTAAACTTTCATTAATTAAACCTTTTTAAATTATGTACCTGTAAGCCCGCAGCATTTTAAATGTTGTTTTCTCATAAAGAATACATAATGTTTAAATGTGTACTTAAAAAAAATTTAGCAATTGGCCACGTTTTCAATGTTTTTATTTATTTCCTTTTAAAAACGTAATTTAAAGTTGTATCATCATTGTGTGTGCTCTCTTAATATCAATTATCTTTTAGACGAAGTAACATAAACAAACTAGCTCGTACATTTCGTGTCCTCTACATTTATACTTACTGATAAAACGATGTTTTTTTAATAGCGCAAGATTGCTGTGGAAAATAAATAGACTAATGTTTTTTCTTATTTACATTTTTTACGCGTTATTCTAAATTCATCTTTAAGATAACAGAGAAAAATGATGAATAAATGGCAATAATATTATTTGCATATCAATGAACATAATATTTAAACATCTTCGTTATTGGTCCTTTATTATAGTCTTAACCTACACCACTACACCAGTGATACTATCACGGGAATGTTCGAAGGTTAAATAAAAAGTTATATCCGTAGGCGAAATTCAATAGTAGGGGTTTATGCTTTGTCGTTTGGGGACAAATTGTTAAAAAATATATATTATTATGTATAAAATTATAATACACATTCTCGCATAATATTAATATTAAACATACATCGTAAAACACAATAACATAAAACATACATTTAATTTATGTTTAACGTTAAAAATATTAAAAAAAAAAAAAAAAAGTTTTTTAGATACAAAAGTCATAAAACGCATTTCAAATTTAATGAAAAACATTACGAACAATAATTATAATTCTGCTCGAGATCGTTTTCGATTAAAGAGAAAACCGTCCGAATATACCGTGTGTCCGCTAGAACAGGGTACATTGTATAATTAAATTATCCATATTACTTACTACTATTAGTACCCTATATAAATTTTTGAATTATATGTTTGCGGGACATGTAACTAGACTGTTAGATCATTAATCTCCCGCAGACAGAATTCTAAACTGTGTATAGGCTACTGATTGGTGTAAGTAACTGAGTTATATAGAGTGTACCCAGTTTTCGCGGACACATTGTATATACTTCAAAACAAAAATCGTGACCGTTCGGTTTTGTACGGAATCAAATGGTTCGACAGTTCTTTTTGCCCTTTAAAAAGCTACCATGGTCGACATTTATTTGAAATCCTAATCAGAGTAGTGCAATCCGAACGAAACGAATTCCTGTTATTTAAAACCATTCAGATTTTAATCGGTCAGTAAAAGTTTGACGACAAAAATAAAATGGAAAAATCATTATTCCGCTCTGCAAATGCTAATAATTTGTATTTCAGAGTGTTTATAATTTTGACGTCCATTTCATTCCGTTTTATTTTTTATCTCCGCGACGCTCGCTGAAATTCGATGTAAATTTGTTTTATTTATTCGTTTGTTTGTTTTTTATTTGTTTAATTCGTATTCTTTTTTATTTATATATTATACTTATATATATATATATATATTTTTTTTACACAGAAAACCCGATGGAGAACGCAGACGACGCTTGTCGGCCAGACAACTTCCACTCGCAGCAGTTGACGTTCAGCACGTTAGTGCGTAAGTACCAGTGTCTTTTTTTCTTTTCGCCATTTTATATTATTCTCTTGCCCCCCCCCACACCCCAACCTAATCCGTCGTGTCGCGTCTGGGCCGTCCGCGGCGCAGTGGCCGTCGTCTCCATCATCTCGCCGCGCCGCCCGAACGTCACGTCGTCACATCTCGTTACCGTCAACGCTCTAAGGAGTCGAGACACTAATGGCCCACAAGACCCAGTGACGCGGCGGAAAATTGTCGTCTCACGATGAACCGGCGGCGGTAACATCCCTTCGCCGTCCGCGAATCGGCACTATATAATATATATATTATTAGGTATATGTACGACCCCCCCTCCCCATACACGCACCCCTATTTTCCGGCCATCCACGGCGTGTTTCCAACGTCAGGATCATTTATTTTATTTATACTAGGCATTTATACCGCGCACACGTAAATAATAATATGATATTAAATATATATATGTGTGTGCGGTTGTGTGCGCAGTATGGGAACAAGGAGAATGGAGAAAAAAATTCGGCCAGGAGAAGACGAGAAATCCCCAAACCATTAATCTTCATATTTACGTAAAAGTTTACACCGGCAGATTCCATTGCGTTCAATCACTTTATGATTGAAAAAGTTTCGTGTTTTTATTTTTCAACGGCTAATTTTTCACTTTTTCCCCTTTTTTTATTATAACTATTATTACTTTCGGAGACGAAATTGCCCCCCTAAAAATACCGCCCAGTCCGCCCCCTTTGCCAGCCTCCTGCACCCTCCCACCCGTTGCTGTCCCATGTTTTTTCAATAAATTTAAAATTTTCCCTAAAACATTTATTATCATACACAGCAGTTGGGCGTTTTTCATTTTACCCTTAAATTTATGAACATATATAATCACTTTTTCTCTTTGTATATTTATTATCAACTCTCGCATTTTGTTTACATCATGAAAATATATTATGATTCTAAAGTAATTGAATCATCGATAAATTTCACCATATAAATCCGAGGTTATATATTTTTACATCTTTTTATGGTTTTACGCGGTTTACCTGCAGGTACATATTTCTGTGTGCTACCGCATATTCATTCCGAGATAATTGAAAAAATATTTTCAAAACTACAATAATAGACAACAATAATTTATAGTTAAAGTTTATGAACAAAAACATAATATCACCCTCCTATTATATAATATAGTTTCTATAATATTATCAAGTATATTACAATATAATCTATGGATAATATCATAGATAAATGTGCCTATGCGAATCCGGTGCTTACTCAGTTTTCACAAATATACAACATTGTGGATACGGGATACCTGGTTATATTTTATATTTTCTTGGCATACGTGACACGAAGAACACGGAGGCGTTAAATTACGAAATAGCATTGTGGTTGAAACGTGACCGTTGGCGCGGTATAGTCTCGGTACATGCGATAGTGTATAATAACTCGCTGACGGAAGTGACGAAACTGAACTCCGCCGCCGCCTCGCGGTTGTGGGAAAATGCACGACATGATCGCGAGGCAATCTTATACATTGAGAAACCACTTAAAATATAATATCGTAAAGTAAATAATTTCAATTTTCCTCACCGGCCCCCACCCCACGCCAAAAGTCCCTTTCGGCGGAAATGTTCACTGCTGTAAAAGTTGTTCGCCCCGAGTCTGAAAATGACGTACGCCCGAAGTTTTCGCAGTAACAGATTCATCCCGCGTGGCCTATAGAACAATTAGCAAAAGGTATAATGGAAAACACATTAAGTAGGTATACCACTTTTGAGGGCTACCGGTCCAAACTATATATATATTTATAATTGTATCGTACGTATTTTGCAATGTGTTTATATATGTATCGTTTTCTAATTTAACGTTGACCGCGAAACACGCGCTGCATCCGGGCCCGTCCGAAATGGAAAGACTACACACACAAAGCACTATACGATAATATATACAATTGTATTTTAATTAAAATCGGAGTTAGTTTACACGGAACATGTTTATGTATATTATAATAATATATTATATTGTTTTGTCCTCGCGAAATGCGATTTTCTTACTGTTCGGTCGTGTGTGCCATAGATTTTTGTTTCCTACACGACCGGTTTTCGTTTTGTAATGCGCTACTACAATAATATACAGTAATCCCGCTCCAATTTTCGATACTGCGTGATTATTTTAACAATGTACCCGGAACAATAGAGTGCACGTGTTACGTAATTCCGCTCAAAACCACAGCAGGGATTCGTATGATATTAAATAATGTATAATATAATATCACGGTGAAAAATATATTGCATCAAAAATAATTTTGATGTTTCGTCTCATGATGGGCGTGTTAAATGACATAATTAATCATTTTTGTTTTTTCGTTGTGGTTGTTGTTAGTGTATATTATTAAAAAGTTGTATTAAACAAAAGATTCAAACAAATTGACTTCAATTTATTTTTTTAATAAAACTGCTTGGTATTGTTATTTTTTACGTCTGACAAGTAACTGACGATAGTTTTAAAATATAGTAATTCGCGAAAGCTGCGGCCAATGAATCAAAATATTATATAAACCTGCAAGCGGTTAATACCGACATTTGTTTGTGCTTTATATGAAAAAAAAATAACTACCTATATCAATAATATCATAAATATATTTTTTCGAAAAAAAAAACGGATGATCCTTTATAAAATTAATTTATTCACATATTTTCCTTCGGCCGTATATTTAATTATCTAGATAAAACGTTTTATTTTCTCTCATATAAATTCATTATCATATAAAAAAAAGTCTTCTCTAATATCCGTTTATTATTATTTATATTTTTAATTGGTTTTATAAAATGAAAACTATCGTTCAACAACGAAATACTAGTATATATAATTTATAAACTATAGCTAAACAAAAAAAAAACAAATTCTCCGCCTAATATCTCGGAATAAAAAGTCAGCGAAACGGACTTTCGGAACTTCTTTATTGTCATCGGAAGTCGCGATGGCATTGTGTAAAACGAACTTTGAATTTTTCACCGAGAAAACGATGACTGTCGTGCCGCCCCGGACGTATATAATAAGTGTCTGATATGGTAATATACGCGACGTATAAAGAATATTATTATTATACAATGTATGGAGAAATGATGGTTTCTGTCTCTTCCTCCTCCCCCTCCTACTCGTACTCGTCGTCGCCGCGATCTTCTAGTCCATTTGTTGTTTTTATAATATTCCGTATACAATCAAGACAGTAGCGATATAAAACCGGCGTTGTAGTATTACTAGACGACGACTAAGACGGTTCCTCCCCAATCGACGGTGACTTATACACATTATAATGTATACATATTATACATCAACATAATATAAATTATTTATAAGAGTTCGGAATGTGTTTGGGGGGTGGCGAAGATGGTATATATATAGTGAATGGCATATACACATAGTATATCGTCAAAACGGCACAAACAATAAAAACAGTGGTCTCATTAAAACTTTTCAATAATAATATTATTATTATCTATCTCCACTTAGTGTGTCGGCCACAAACAGCCCAATGGATTATATGGTTGGCATGTGCAATAACGCACGCAGTCTGTTCCAAAGTTTCCGCCATTCCGGAACATTACGCTTGGCCGCAAAAGTTTCTCCTCTCCCCCGTCCTCTTACAACGTACTCATATATATATATAATATATAAACTCATACCGTGGTTATTGTCTACACACACACATACGCGTGACAGAGTGGCAAGAGAATACCGCCATACATGTACGAAGCCATATCGTCGCCGCGTTCTACTACCGTACAATCGTCACACACACACACACCAACCCCACCAAAGCACCACTCGACCCCCAACCGTAAAACCAGCGCACGTCAGTTATAATAATGACATGATGATACATGATATTATACGATTACCGCTAACACGCCGTTTTCTTTGCAGCTCCGTCGCCTAAAGGTCGCGAGTGCCCGTTCCTCGGCCGTTACGAGATCAGCGGCGGACTTAATGCCGAAGACGTGGGAAAAGCGCTGGCCGCCAGCCAACCCGGCAGCGAGAACAACCTAGACAAACCATCGATCCCGTGCAACCCACCTGGAAAACAGTACCTGACCATCGGCTGCAATTCGCCGGACACCATGGAGTTCCAGTCAGAGTGTGGTACCAAGACCGTAGCCGGTAAGAGAACCTAAAATTATTATATATAATATATAGTTTACCCTCAGCCGTGGTTATCGCGTTCAATCCTTGGTCCCGAGGTGGTCTCACTTTCTCACCTCTCTGGAGGAAATATTCCAATGCCTACGTAAAGGTGTATACGACGACGTCCTTGCGGTATACAACTGTAGTTATAGATCACGATGTCATAATATCATATACATCTAACGATTTCAATAATCCCACATCTATACATATAGTATGTTATTTATTAATATTCAAGTCGGAATCGCGTGCCGTGCAGGCTTGTTTGGGATTTTTACAAGGAGATAGGGATGGGATTATTCTATAGGTACTAAGTACTAACCTGCACCCCGCCACCGAATCCCCCTTGAACTATACGCGTAACCACTCGTACGATGAACACGAGCGTATCTTATACCTTCTCGTATCATACACATAATATAATATACAATAACGATATTATATACTCTATATATATATACAAAACGCACGAATCCGATTGTTGCCGTGTTTCGTGTTGCGTGCGTAAAATATACGAATAGATATATTTGCAGCGTATTCAATTTTTTTTTTTTTTTTTTTGGAACCTACTATAAACGTCTCGGTTTTTTATTTCGCAGCGTACACGTGCTACGGACACTGGAAAAACGAAAATACCGGTGTCAACTACGTGATATCCACGCCACAGGGACGATCGGCTACCAATTCCAGACGATACTGTTTCATCATGTCACAAGTGAACGGAATGGCTCAGCAAATGTTGCACATCGCCTCGGTGATGGAATCGTGCCATCCTCACCCGCTGGGTCGGCTGCACTGGGCGTTTAATATAACGCATCAAGGTATGATATATTATTATCGTGAACGTCCGAGGTTTTCGTTTTGAGAAAATTCTAATTTCGCGTTTACCGCGGTACGGATCCAGTGCCATTTCATGGCGTTGAGCGGGGGGGGGGGGAGAGGACAATGATTTGAAAGAGTGAGTGATTTTCCCAAGCCCCACGATATTATTAAAAAACTTAATGATCCCTAAAATGAAAAATATATCTACACAATATATTTTTTTTCCGGATATAATATACATTATTAACATTTATTATTTAAATTTTAACTATACAAAGGCTTAAATCTAATGCGTATAAATTGTACAGCGTTTGACTATTATTACTTACTTAGTTATTTTTTTTGCTATAAGTACAGCGTGTACAATAAAAAATTGTTGAAGGAAAATACGTAGACTACGTGTACCTACTTAGGATGTGGATAATTAATATATTATGGAAGTATAGAACTTAAGTTTACAATATCAACATAATATCATAATACATTATAATAAAATTACATAATGACGTCCGCCATGGACGGTTACATTCAATGACGATAATGATATGACATTGTACAATTATTAATATAATATTTGTTAATAATTGGTATGATTATCCATCGCCGTCGCGTTGTTATGTGCGCGCGCATTCCGGAGACGAATGTCGTTCGAAACCCCCATAGAAATTTCGATTACATTATATTATTATTATTATTATAATATAGTGGGATCTGCAGGTGGTAGTGGGTGTTAATGGCAAAACTAAAAACGTTCTGGAACGGTAATAACAATAATATTGTTGAAGTGTTGAAGTGGACGTTGTGTGAATGAATTATTTATATGCCTTTATATGCGTCGGAAACGTACAGTAACAAAAAAAATGATAAAAAAATCGGTCCGGAGATTTGGAAACAAAACAATCGACGACGTGAAACGGGTGGTGTTGACGTTTGCCGGATGCCCGTGATTTAAGTGGACACACGTGTTTGTGTGTGTCCGCGAGCCCGTTTCAATGGTATATATTTCCGGCCGGCCGGAATTGGTTTAATTGATATTCTTTGTGACATTCTGTACGATTACACACAATAGGTACTTACGTGCAACAATAATGAATTAATTTTTTTTTTTTTAATTTTCGTCCCCAACAGGTCTGTGCAGTTCCGATTCCAGCAGCTCCATCGTTTCCGACTTGCCAGTCCTAGTCCTATTTGCAGCCCTGCTGGCCGCCATAGTCAATCGCCGGTGATCATCGTCGTCGTCAGCAGTCGCGTCGGCCGGCCGGCCGCTAGACATTTAGAGGAGGCTCTCGCCAATATTTAAAAAAAAACCAAGACCACGTCGCTAAAAAAAAAATAAAAAATATATTAATGATCGGGCGGTCCCCCCGTGTATACATATTATTATTATTATTACTATTATTATTATTATATAGGTGTTAGGGATCGCTTTTGTTTATTTAATTGTTTACATTTTTTTTTTTTTTTTTGAAACCGACTTTATTGTGATCATATTTTTAAACTATTATTATTAATATTATTATTTTGATGTTACCCCCAAAGCCAATCTTCTATTTCTCCCTCTTTCTTTGTGTTTCTTTTTTATTTCTTCATCGATTTCTCTCTATATCTATTATGTTATGTTATTATTATTATTATTATTATTGAACTTGTAAATTTGTTTTTTAATTGATGGTGCAGAGTCGTTTGCGTTAGTTTCGATGTTTATATTACCGTAAGCGAATCCGCATACGTTTGCTAGGAATGATTATAATATTATAATATATACCACGGTGGTTATATATTAATACTTATTTTTTATTTTTCAATAATTGTAAATATCGAAAATTGTAAATTTTTTTATTATTATTATTATTATTATTATTATCGAATTGTAATACGAGATTAAATCCGTGTCCGTGTAATTCGACTCACATATACCACACACGCCTGCTTACCAAATTATCTTTTTTATTATAATATATTAAGATTTTAATTTTAGCGCTGAATGTGTACAAAATCGATTCTATGTATTCGTGCAGGTCCTATATGTTCTTTTTTTTTTTTAGACATAATTCTTACCTTTTTAACGAAATATTATTGTATACGTTTAATATACATATAATACGAGAAGAAGATGCTTTATACATATATATATGTAATATATATATATATATATATTGTACATGCTCCATGTGATAAAATGTGGAAGGGACATATCATAATGTTGTCCTGATTCACTTTTCTTCGTCACCCGCAGCTGAAAGTTTTTATTTTTATTCTACCGAGCGAGTCGCACGCTGCGAGCTTTGATCGTCTGGAACGATATTGGACCGATACAGTGATTAACTTATATTATCGTTTGTTTACATTTTATTATTATTATTTTTTGTATTTGGGAACATTCGACTCGCTCCGTACGATAATTATTTTTGAATGTTCGTTATTGCCTATATTTAAAGAAAAAAATGTTATATATAAATAATAATAAAAAAAAAAATAATAATAAAAGTACACGACTATCTTAATGTGTATAGCTTTATTTTTTATTAAATAAATTATTGTTCATTTTAATAATTTTAAATATTATAATGTTAGTAAATATATTATTTTTTTTTTTTTTTTCGTTCGGTAATTTAAATTGATGTATAAAAAAAACTATAAAGGGCCAAATAAAAATGGTGTCATATTATACTGAAAATTATTATTGAATAGTCCCCAACTGTTATAATATTTTACTATATAGTAGCTGGTACCACCTACCTATAATACATTTCTCGACGTCCCTATCCCATAACCTACACAAACCTTACGTCAATCGTTATAATATTATGATCACTTCACGTTTGACGTTCTCTGCGCAGATATTACGCAAGACCAGTCAAAGGCATGTAATAATAATATTGTTCAGTATAAGTGTAGGTACGTCATATTATTGTTGTCTGTCACATATTGGTAACCGTCCTATAACCCTTTTTTGATTTACCGCCGGTGCCTATGTAATTTTGTCCACAAAAATGAGCTCTACGGCATTATTGATCATGTCATGTAGAATCAACCGAATTTGGTAAAATTTTTTTAACTAACAGAATGATTTTTACACAGCCCGCTTTGAACTCCGTTTTTCAATATTTTAATCTCAAACTTTATAACATGTCCACAAAAATAATACAGTTTTAAGCTTTTTTATACAAATTATGCCTTTATTTGAAATAAAATAAAAAAGCAGAGTTCCAAGAGGCTTTTAGAAAGTCTTCTTCTTTCAGATAAAAAAAAAAACATTTATTAAAATCCGACAATTCTACAGGACCTGAGAATTATTTCTGTGAAGTAAATTTTTTCGATATAATACACCGTATCAACCCCTCACCCCCCATTAAATAGGTATCGAGATTAGTTGAAAATTATTAGGTATATAATTAAGGTGGCACCTAAAATTTAAAATATCATTTTTTAATTGTTCATAGAATTGCTGAAAATTTGAAAAACCTGGCCACTTAAGTACCTATTATGCTTACTGATTGCGTTTTTTGTTTTACTCCGCATATATACAGTTCACCGGCAGACAATATAATAATATACTAAACGTCTATATCGTTTCATTCCGACCGTGTATAGATATACATATATACTATATGTTTAGGTATAGTGATGTCGTCCCGGGGGATGGCCTTGGTTGGTCCGAATTTTCCGACCCGGCTGCGGACCATAATGTTATGCCAATGGCGTTTTTCGAATCCCCTGCGGGCTGTGCCGCGCGCGACTGTGAAAAAATAAAAACCGATGACCGTGTTTTCGGGATTTACACGAATTTTTAAATTAAAAGTTTTTTTTTTTTGTCCCCGACAACCGTATTATATTGCAGTCGTGTCCGCACTGCACTGCGGAAAAGAACACGACAATTCAATTTAATCGCGACCGATTCAATATTATATTATTTACCATATATCATATATTATGTACCTCCGCACTAAATACATATGTGCTGCTTGTTTTTGTTGTACAAACCGCATCGATGTACCCGTACGCGAGCAGTGCAATTTTTGGGTAACATCAATCATCTAATATAATGTGTACAATATGACCACTGGCTGGTAACCTGTAATTATAATACCGGTAAAAACCATAAACCATATCGAAACCAATATGATATCAATACCAATTCGAAACTGAAATCAAAAAAAGAGAAAACGGATACAGGTACTGAAAACCAAAAACCGAAATCGGAGTAAATCAATACCCGTTTTCAAAAGCTAAATTTTTCATATCTAATTTGGAAAATGTTCAGTAGGTGTCGAGTGTACCTCGTCAATGGGTACGTGATCGATGTATAATGTATACATACTTGGTATGCTCTGTTAGAACTCAAGTATAAGTATTGTAAGTAAAAGTAAAACGTGTTAAGTTAAAAGTTATATTCCAGAGATTAGTTCAGTTTTATTTAAGTATATAGGCACCTAACTATTAATAATATAACTTTAGGGTTTTCGGTATAAATGTATACATTTTTATACTATAATTTAATACCGGTATGGGCGGTACTATCAATACCGTTGAAAATATAGATCGGTTTTCGAAAAATATCAATACCGAATTCGAAAACTGAATAAATAAATACCGGCAACCGAACAAAATCTTATCGGTTTCAAGGGCCTGCTGAATACGACGATGATTCTATAAAATATTATGATATACTGAAATTATTATACAGTACCTGGGTACAGCTTTTGTCCGACGAGACCGACGGAATGGCCCGAAGGGGGGGTAGGCTATACATAATAATATTATGCGGTCGTACACGCTTGTCAACAGAATACGCGATATGAATACACCGAATCGAAATATAGTATAATAATAATATGGTAGAACAATTTATAATATTATTACTACAAAACTCGGTCAACATTTGATCAGCGGACAGTGGTGTAGATATTACGAGGGAATTACCGCACACGGCTGCAGCTTCATCAGTTACCGCCGATCCAATATACTATTTATATTACGTAACCGATTGGTTTTACTGTAAATTTGCCAAGTACATTTGACATTTCTATAACATTATATTCCACGAACGGTAGTTAATCGAATATGGAAAAAAAAATTACAATATTCCACCCGAATAAAACTGGCCATTTTTTTTTTTTACCAACTCAATCGGCGTTATAATAATATGCGTAATATAATAATTTTAAAATACTCGTGAAACAACTGCAAAGTCTGTCATGAATTAAATTTGTTTGGTTTTCCTTTGTTGAGTATACGATCTAATGATAACTAGAGGATCTAGAGTCTGGATCACCACATCGTAAATTACAAAATTGAATTTCCCCAACAAAAAAATCTCTCCCTATATAAATATTGCGCTCGACGCTCATGTAGGTATAAACTAATATAATAAGGCTCTATACGGCCACTTGTTTTAACATATTATACGATGAATACATGTCACGTGTGCCCAGGGCCCCCACAACTAACAAGGGAGGGGGCGGTTGGACCTGGAGTATACGGGGGCCCGTTGAAATAACTTTTAATTTTTGAAATATTGACAAGAATACTTATTCTATATTAAATAATATATTATGACGTAATATATAAAATATAATACATAATATTATATTAAGTAGAAAGTCATTTTGATATTTTAAGTTGTGGGTTAACAAGGTTTATTCAGATTTTAATTTTGAACTAAGTTATGAGTTTTCTAAAACTCGAAAACAATTTACAGTTTTAAAATACTCCTAACTTGCTTTCAAATTAAAATATAAAAAAATACCCTATGAGGTTCACTAGATACTATTCATACTTCTAAATGATGGTTCGGTTTATGTACAGCGAAACCACTATAAATATCGGACACTCTGAGTCGCTGAAAAGTTCTTCACCATTCGGAGATGTCCCCACAGTTCAGATAATAGAAAATATTGGGAGGTGTTCGTTTGGAGGAAGTTTCACTGTATCTCAAAATATATTCTTGACCTATGTGCCAATGGAACTTACCAATTCCACTTGTTTCGGGACCTCCTCCAAATATGTAATATTATAAATAGTACGACTGCCGTCCATTTACTGGCCGCCACTGGGCTCGTGATGTATTATTATAATAACGAGATAAAACGAAAAAAAAACAAAACGCCCCCACAAAGAGTCGTCAGAGGATAAAATGTAATTTAAGTACGCGCACCGAAACAAAAAAAAATGTAAAACGACCCTGGATTAATATTTCAAACATTTCAAACATTATCTTACGGAA